CTAGTCGAATCATTCAGTGATGCAGGAGATATAGAAGCAAAGAGATACTTACCTGCCGCAGCATGAGCTGCCAGTTCAGCAGGCTGGTTTCTTGCAGGAACCGAAGCACCAGGCTGAGTAGTCATGAGGCAGGAGACCGAACTCGGTGTAGATGACTGAGAGGCCTGTGCAAGAAGTGTCTGGTACTGCTCAGAGGTCAGAACCACAGATTCTCCAGAAGCAGATCCACCCGCAGAAGAAGATTCGCCAGAACCATCACCAACTGCCGCATTGACTTTGCCTTTGCCTTTGTAGCCCGGTGGATATCCGTGCTTCTTGAAGCAGCGATCCACAGTGTGGCCAACACCTCCACAGTGTGTACAGATCGGTCTCTGTCGAGCTCCAGCACCACGGCTTTGACCTTGAGGAGGTCCAGAAGAGCGACCAGCCATGGCGAGAGGTGTGGAAGAAGAACCAGTAGACGGATTAAGCTGGCGTTCATGTTGAATCACCATGGAGAAGACACGAGTAATCGGTGGAAGAGGCTCCATAAGCAAGATCTGGCTGCGAATCTGAGAGAAGCTATCATTGAGACCTTTGAGAAACCGAATGATTTGATCCGACTGCTGATATGTGCGAATGACGTTCAACGCGCCACAAGCACATCTTGGAGTACACGAACAGACAGGAAACGGCCGAATCGTCACCAGCTCATCCCAGAGAACTCGAAAACGAGTAAAGAACTCGCTCACAGTAGCATTCCCTTGCTTGAATGAGAAGACCTCATCCTGGAGATCAGGGATGCGAATCAGACTTGCCTCACTAAATCGATCTTGCAAATCTTTCCAGACATCGACTGCTGAATCAAACCAGAGGATGCTGTGGGCGATATCTGGAGCCAGCGACCGGTAGATCCAGCCAAGAACCATCACGTTACACCTCTCCCAAGCTCCATGAAGAGGATCGCCAGGAGAAGGTGGAGCAACGGCAGGATCAATCAGCGAGAGCTTGTTCTTCGCCAGAAGCGCGAGACGCATCGATCTAGCCCACGCGTAGTAGTTGTTGCCATTGAAGACGACTGTGACCAGAGCCAGCGCAGGATTGTCGCCGGGATTGAGGAAGTCGGGATGACTCGGATCGAGCAACCCAGCGGGAGGAGCGAATGAGAAACTCGCCGACGATGATTGCGCCGATGGAATCGCCATTAGAGAGCAGACGCGAATGAAATCGAGGAGATGGAAGCGGAAGTTTCGAAGCGATGGAAACGAGGATATGGAACCCTAGCACGAAAGGGGAAAGTAAGAGAGAGAACAAGATTCTATTTGCTCTGATACCATGTTGATCTTGGAGGAAAATTGTCTACTTGTATTATTGATAATTGGGTAAAAAATTACATAGTCTTATTTACATATATATACATGATATGCAACGGTAAAATAAACAAACAAACATCATAATAAACAAACATTACAATACAGTTCCTACATTACTAATTCTTTACAACTGAGTCCTCCAACAGGACAACCCCATTCCTTCCTATTAGCGTGAAATGACTTTTATTCAATCAGTCTCCTCCGCTCTCTCTGCACTGGCTTCTACTTTCACGTACCTTCTGGCCTCAGTTATTGACTTTGCCCCTTATGCTCCTCCATCTAACGAAGAATTTAGTGGTTCTTCACTCCCAAACGAATTGGGACAGTATCGTAGTAGAGCTCATAACCATGCTTTTGACGAATCCCTCTCCGGCGTCAACTACTGGTTGATTGCACATTGCCTTATGCCTGACTATGGCTTTTAGAAAGAGCATCTCATACAGAGTCTTTCAACTAACAACTAAGTTATACGAGCCTTCACCTAAGCTCTCACAGGGCCTTCCTATAGATAAGATAGACGCAAGCCGTTTCTCATCTTTGAGGAGCGAAAGCCACTCGACTCTAAAGGAGAGGAGAGGCATTCTATCTTGATTTTCTCTTCTCTAGAAGAAGGATGCAGGGGACACGACAACATTCGCTTAGGAGATTGGGGACCACCTCCTTCAAAGACCCATTAACATTCGATTGCGAGGAAAACCTCTATATTAGTCTTAGGTTAAGAAATGAAAATTTAAAAGATTCTGCTTGTGAGCATAATGGTATAAGCCCGCCTGTTGAAAATCGTAACGTAAGTAACTTAGTGCAAAATCAAAAGTGAAGTACCCGTATGTGTGTAATTTGGTTAATTGTCTAGTTTTGTTATGAGTAAATTAAAATGAGTTAATGCATATTCTTTGCCCTCATTTAAGACAATTGTAATTAACTAAAATAGAAAATTGGATCCATTCAAAATTTCTTTTACCAAATTGGTCCATCCAAATCTTGTCCAAGGTTGTCAACCCGCGGGTCAACTCACTTTGACCTTGACCCGATGAGAAAAACGAGCCGCACGCACCCGCCGGGTCGACCGCTACAAGGTATCGGGTTGGAGGTCAAATTGTGTCATTTTTTTCTTTGGTTTGCGAAATGCGCCTATTTTCCGAATTTTCTTTTCGCTTAACTCAATCTTTGGAATCCTTAGTTGAACATTTGAATATTGATGTTATATAAGTGTGTGTGAATTTTCACTATACGTTGGATCTAAGTATGACATGTTACTTTGGTGTAATAATATATGTTATTACTCATATGTTAGATGAGATTTGATATAATTTATTAGGATAAGTACAATATAATGACTCTTTTCATATTTTCGGTCTAAAATGGGTGACCCATTAACCCTTGACCAACTAGCTCGACCGGATCCGGGTCAACCCGCGAGTTGACAACTTTGATCTTGCCTAATTATCTCAAAACGAGATAACTATATTAAATTAACCCGTTATAATTTCACATTAAACCATCTTTTAATTTTTTAAATGAGCAATTTGGCCTACTTCCTAATTTATACAATTCTGAATTCTGCCCTAGAGGTGGGCAACGATTCAATTCACATATGAATGAATCAAACCCAATCGACTCTCACACCGAATCGGATCAAACTGTTTATCTTTTGATTTGACTTTGGTTCCTAAATTTGGGACATTTTTGGTTTTGGTTCGGTCCAGACCAAAACCGTAAAATCAAGCAAATGACCGGATCGAATCGCAATTAAATTAATTGCCTATTTTATTAGGCTCTGAGAAGACACAACACTTATGGCTTAACTACCTATAAATATGATTGACTTTCCCTGACTTTGACTCGCCGCTCCCGCTCATATAGTCCTACTTTCAAATCAGAGCTCTCATCCGCGTTGCTTCGATCAAAAAGTTGCTTACTTTACCTACACACTGTGAGAATATGCGAATAAATGACACCACAGAGGCTTCTGCCAAGTCTGACAACACCACTGCAAATTAGCAAGGTTAAGAACCATTTGTTTTATTGCACTAGTTCTTGGAGTAAGTGTCTCTTTATTAAACTCCTTTCTAATGCCTTATATCTAGGGGTGGAAATCGGTACGGTATCGGTATCCCAATACCAAATACCGAAATCCCGAATACCGAATTACGCCCTAAAGTCAATCCCAATCCCAATCCCTAAATAATTTCGGTATCCCAATCCCAATCCATAAATATTTTGGTATCCCAATCGGTACTTCGGTATCCCAATCGGTATTATCGAATACAAAATTAATTACCTTTTCAATTAATAATTAAATATATAAATTAGATTTTATTGTTTAATTTAGGGGGAAAATACTAAGCAAAGAGTCTTGAATTAGGATATTATTAAGGAGAATATAGGAGAGGAGACATCTCAAGTTTTTATCATTGGTAATCGTTAATTTGATGAATTGGAGGTTGGGAGACGACTATTAATAGTGATGGAATGATATATGTATAATTAAATGACACTCTTGGTGGTTGAGGGTCGTGTAGTAGTGAATGAGAGAGTTTAGTTGAGAGGATAAAATACACACTAGCTTATATTTCGGTATTGATCGGTATTTCAGTATATACCAATCCCAATCCCGTAATCCCTAATACCGAATAACAATTGAAATTCAATCCCAATCCCAAGAAATAATAAGTGTATTCGGTAATACCAAATATAGACAAATTCGGTACGGTATTCAGTATATCCCAAATACTGGTACCAAACTTCCAGCCCTACTTATATAATGTGCTCATATGGCAGAAGAGAGGCTTTCTAATGAACATTGGAAATTCTGGAGATTGGGCGGTCCAACGTGCACTCTGAAAATGAAAATGGAAGATTGGAGAGATAATTAGTTAGACTACCTTTGAGATTGAAGAAAAAAACTTTTGTCTTTTAGTTAGTTAAGTAGTTCTCGGGGTCGTTTGGAAGTTGCGATTGTTTTGTTGAGATTGTCATTATGCATGTATTGTTTACAATGCATTGTTTTTTTGTTTTTTTAGCAGAAACAATACATGTATTGTTTCTGTGATGTGACAGAAACTATCACTCATTTTGAGTGATTGTTATATCTCAACTTTTAGTTGTGATTGTTGAGATAGTTGAGTTGAGATTGTTTTGTCTCAGCTTTTAGCTAATGCGACATACACAATCACACATACCAAACGTTGTATTCTACAATGCATCAAATTCGACAATACATGTATAATATTATACATGCATTCTCAACAATACATCTATTTAACAATCGCAACTTCCAAACAACCCCGAGTCGTTTAGCTTTTTTGCCTAATATTTTGGAACATGTGATTTTTAAGAATTGTTGAGTATTTAAATTGGGATAATTTGATTACTTCTTTTCGTATAGTTACATGTTTTTAATTCTTGTGTTGTCCTTTAAGAGTGATTTTATTCGAATGAAAGATTAGTCGGTCCAATGGGATGGTCCAGACCTAATCGAGCCATATATGATTTGATCCAAACCGAATCGAAGTAATAACGATTCGACTTTGGTCCTTGATTTAGAAATTTTTTTGGTCTAGTCCGAGAATAGTTTGGTCCGGTCTTGGACCGAATCGACCGATGCCCACCCCTATTCTACCACTTTGACAAGACGCATCCGCTCCCGTTGCCCACTGCTGGGAAGCCCTCTTTTCCGTCTCTCTGCAATTCCGCCGTTGCGATGGCGGCTGTACGAATGATAGGCAAGTCCTACTGTAATTCCAACCATTGATTCAAATTCTAAACTACGGGAACGCCTAACTGACGATCTCTTCCTTCCATTCTTTTCTGGAACAGATATTGCGGTAAACTTCACAGGTCGGTCAGTCATTTCATCAAGCAACTGCTGAGCATGTCAAGCTGTGATTTCATTCTTTATTCAGTTCAGGAAATGAGTGATGTTTAAATTTTTTGTTTTGTTAGATGGCATGTTCAAAGGAATCTATAATGGCAAGCAGCACCATGTAGCTGACATACCTGCTGTCCTGACTCGGGCTTGGAACGCAGGTGTGGAACGCATCATTGTAAGTTTCCTTCTGAGACCAGCCTTCTCTAGCTGCTTTCAGCTCGCTTATATGGAATGGCGGTTTTCTCCTTGGATTCCAATTGTTCTGTATAACCATCTCCCAATATGTTTGCTATCAAATGTCTCTCCTTTGAAAGTGGGAGGGTTTTTGTTTCCTACTGTTTCTTCTGGATTTGGCTGTTGTATGTTGTCCCTGCTTCTGTTGGTCTTGTGCTAGTCAAAGACTGCATAACTAAGATTGGCATCATGAAAAGAAAAAAGAAGAGTCTTTTTCAGTTAGTGTGAAATGCTTAAAGCTTTCAGGGGTGCTAACTTATAGTCTTCTTTGAGGCGAGCGGTTTCTCACTGTGGTAATATGATTTTTGGTCACAGGTCACTGGTGGGTCTCTGGAGGAGTCGAGGGAAGCTCTGGCAATTGCCGAGACAGATGGTTTGTCTCTTCTTATTTTGTGGAAGCTTGTTGGAGAATTGCTTTCAGCACTTTGATTTCTATTACCATTTCACAGGAAGGCTTTTCTGTACTGTTGGTGTGCACCCTACTAGATGCAAGGTTCATTTCAAGTCACTGGATTTCCTTTCCTGTAGAAGTTTACTTTCCCTTTTTTCCTTCATGTTCCCCCTCACCCATTCTCTCGGATTTATTCAGGAATTTGAAGAAAGTGGGGATCCGGAGAACCATTTCCAAGCTCTGTTGTCGTTGGCCAAAGAAGGAATTCAGAAAGGAAAGGTATCATTTTCTAGTCTCATCTACAATCACACAGTCATGGTGCGGTGTCATAAAATTTTGTACATCCACGATACTTTTTTGCTTTAACGATGAAGATGGTCTTAAATATATGTAATCTGACATTAAATGATTGGTTTCTGTTTTGATAATTGAGATGATTGGGGCGGATGGCTTCTCAATACCATATTGCTGATGTTATGAGTTATGTACTTATATGCATATGCATGTAGACATGCACAAACATCTTAGCTGTATGTTCAAAATCCTGTGCAGCCTTGTTCTCGTCTCATCTCTGGCACGCACACTGTCAACTGTACTAGTTGCAGTGTCAGATATCTTACATGCTGATATACATTCCGAGGTCGGAACTGTATCCTCATTGTGCAGAATGCTTGCACGTTATTTGTGAGTGTTAGTTTAGTAGCTACAACTCTTTCATGACCACATTTTCCGTTGAATTTTCAACACCGAAGGTTGTGGCAGTTGGTGAGTGTGGACTGGACTATGACAGGCTCCACTTTTGCCCTGCTGAGATTCAAAAGAAGTAAGTTCTTTTGGAGAAGCCATTCTATGCGCTTTCATGCCTTACCTAACCATTGTGATTAGAGAGTGCATGCATTGATAACTTAGGTATTTTGAGAAGCAGTTTGAATTAGCACATGCCACAAAGCTGCCTATGTTCCTCCATATGCGTGCAGCTGGCGAGGACTTTTGTGAGATCATGGATCGTTACAAGGACAGGTTCGTTACCAAATACTACTGCATGGCTTGAATGGTACTTGCTACTGACTTTTCCTGCACCACTTAATTGAGGTGGTTGTGAGCCACGGCTCCATTTTCCTTGAGTGCAATAAAATTTATGCGAATTCACTTCTTGATTGATAATGTTGAGCCACTGGTTTAGCTTAAACTAATTTAGCTCATTTCTAGTTTATCTGGTAATTGTCTTTGTATTCTAGGTTTGTGTTTTTAAGGTCTTGGCGCAGGTGACATACTTCATGTAATTTTCAGGTTCACCGGTGGCGTAACGCATTCCTTTACTGGCAGCACAGAAGATCGTGATAAACTTCTTGCATTCAGAAATATGTATATAGGTGAAATACTCTCATTGGCAGACTTTTCAAGCTTCTTCTTCCGTTCACTGATGTTTTCATTGTACATTTCCCTGGATTCAGGTGGCTTCTTGTGAAATAACTACTTGGTTTTGTCTTTACGAGACTAGAATATCCAGAACTGCCTTTACTTTTTCTAGCCTTCAAAGAGTGGTTTCTCAATTATTGCTCATCTAGGCAACACTGAAAGTGGAAGGAACTGTCAACTTAGTTCCCGTTCCAAACCTATAAAACTTTGATAACTTTGCATCTTTGTACACATTTCCAGTTGCTATTGGTAACTGAGTTTCTCACCAAGCTTTCCGCTGCAGGTGTAAATGGTTGCTCTTTGAAGACAACTGAGAACCTTGATGTTGTGAGGGACATTCCCATTGACAGAATGATGATAGAGACCGACTCTCCCTATTGTGAAATAAAAAACACACATGCAGGAATCAAACATGTAAAATCATCCTGGCCTTCCAAGAAGAAAGAGAAGTATGAACCAGGGTCCATTGTCAAAGGCCGGAATGAACCTTGTTTAGTTCGGTAAGTGGAACCCTCGGCTTTATCTAAATGCCTAATTCTAGAGGTTAAGCCTATCTGGATGTCTCTACGAATTGTTGGGAGAGGTTCAATCATGGATCATATACCACAACACTAACACGCCCCCTCAAACGAAAGCCACTCACAAGGGCTTGAAGTTTGCACAGGTATGAAGACCAGAATACCATGTGCTTAACAAATGGGGGTCACCTGGAATCGAACACAAGACCTCTCGGTCACAGGGCTCTGATACCATGTCAAGAACCAGTTGATCCCAATAACTCGAATTGTTGGGAGAGGTTCAATCATGGATCATATACCACAACACTAACATCGAGTGTGTTCGGCTAATGTTACTTTTAAAAATAAATATATATACTCGGCTGTTTGTTTTGCATAATTTATATACGATGTTACTCTTTTCAGGCAAGTTTTAGAGGTCGTGGCAGGCTGTAAAGGCATCACTAATACTGAAGAAATGAGCAGAATCATCTACCACAACACCTGCAGGTATGTGCCTTCTCAATGACCCTGAATATTCTTGCCCTGCTCACTAGCCCAGGGAAATAAAAACCCAAGACTTTCTTTTCTGTATACGTAATCCAATATACTTCTTGGCAGAATGTTCTTTCCGCAGGACTTGGATTCCGCTGCAGAGTCTCTTCTTGCTGGTGGCGATCAGGATTCTTAGCTAACATGAACTGTTTTCCTGCTGATCGTGATCATGATTCTCATGGAAAATGCCTTATTCCCTCTTCTGCTCAACTTTTTCTAGTTGGAATAAACCCATTCTCATTTATTTTTAAGTTCCCCTGAGAATACTTCAAACCTTGCTTTTTATCGAGACATCTTTGATATTAGTCCTGGGTTCTTTAGAGTTATACTGATACTTGCTCGAACGAGTCTTCAAAAAGTTGTCACTTAGTACAAATATATTACAATATATATGGTCATCCATTTAGCAACAATTTTCTGCAGTAAAGGTACTCTATAAATTGGCTGATCAGTAGCAATCTTGTAAGATCCCACGCCAATATTCACAAGCCACACTTTGAAACATATAGCTGGATGCTTGCTCTTCAAGGCACCTAGTTTCTTGTGTTGTGTCTTCGTTTGACTGTTTCGCACGGTGTGGTGGAGCATAGTGAAGGAAAAAAGCTCCTTAGGAAGGTTGAAGGATATATGGGGAGAAAATACTTTGAATTGATATGCAGAAACGTCTACTCGGAGCTTATGCTCGAAACCAATTGGTTGCTATATCGCAGTAGTTGACTTGAATCCTGATGAAGATTGTGAAGAATCATCAAAATGGTAGAATACGTAAAGATGCAGTGGCTGCCTCATTAGACAGTGTGGGCAAAGTGCTACACGAATAAGGTGTTCTATCTTGATAACATGAGCACGAGTAGAGTTGAGTCATCTCACTATTTGTTCAAGACTTTTCTTGTATATGGTGGAGCGTTGGACACTTTTTTTGTGAAGAATCACAACTGCATGGAAGCTCAGTTTGTGGAAGTGATGAATGAACTGCACAAGTTACTCAACCGCAACCTGAGTAGGGCAATTGTTACGGTCAGAGAGCACTCACCAACAAGCTCCCACGGTCAGAGAGCACTCGACTCCTCCTGAGCAGGTGTTACGAACCGCCCACCACGGTTCCTATACATAACCGGACGTGATGAAGCCGTATAGGATGGTCCTCGTCCACGCCCGACTGGAGGGACCTAATAATAAAATTAAATAACAAAATTAACAACATAATAATTAATTTAAATTAAATCGAGCCAATAAATTTGGTAGCCGGGACTAGGCTGGGCCGAAGGATTCCACCGGCTAGGACGAGGTCGAGTAGAAGGAGCTCGGCCTCATCGTGGCCGGCGAAACCCACCGTCCTAGCCTCGCTCACGCTGGAATACATATTCCAGGAGGGTGAGACCAGGTCAGGGCGATGCGACTCATTCTCGTCGGAGCCGAGAAATCCTTTCAGCTCAACTTCGTTGGCCCCGTAATGGATTTTTCCGGCGGTCGCTACCAGACTAGGCCGAAAGAAAGCAGCGACGGCGACAAGGTCGGGTCGAAGGATTCTTTCGTCCCGACGAGGCGCCACCGCCGCTTTCTTTCAGCCGCCTTGATTTCTCGAAAACTGAAAAAGGTCAAAAATTGAAAAAATATGGAACCTTACCTATTTTAGTGAATCTCGTGCTCAGCCGGGACGAGGCTGCTGCGAGATTCCAATGACCAGCTACGTGGGTGTGGTGGCCGGCGGCGAGTAGTTGATTCGGAGGATTACGTTTGGATGGCAATAGGTTGGGTTTGGGGTGGATTGTACTAAACCCACTCATACCCATTTTCATTTATCAAATCCATACCCTCCCCATCCCCATGCGGGGGAGATTTTGCATCCCCATCCCCGCGGATTTCGAATACCCGAGGGTAATCCCCGCCCCGTACATCTGATTATGATTATAACTAAATTAACACACTTGAATTCAACAAAACATATAACTACTAAGTTGAAACATCAAACCTAATCAATTATGAACCTAATAAAGAACCGCCGATAATCTTAATTAGATATTTAGATCATCCAATTCCTACGAAGTTCCATAAACAAAGTACCAATAAATAATCCAACACCAGATTATTCATCTACAAAACACCTACTAAACTATAAAAATCCACACATGAAGGAAAGACGTATGAGCCGAATGTTATTACCACTACTATACTGCTGAACGGACGATGAGCAAAAGAACCGACGAACTGAAGGAAGGGAACAAAGGGTCAAGGAGGGGTGGTGTTCTGGTGGAGATGCTATTGAAGAGGGTAGGAGCGTCGGCGAATAAGGACGTGAGAGAGGAGTTTTAAGCGTTGTCTTGTCGAGTGAAGGGAGGGGAAACTTGACGGCTGAAGACTTGAAGAGAATAGCTAGGGCTAGAGTTAGAGACGCATAAGGAAATTAGGGTGGCTTATAGGAAATTAGTACTTATTTGTTTTACAATTACAATAATCCTTCAGCTTTATTGGGGAATACGTTATACGAAATAAGTAATGGCGAGGAGTATATGGGTATGGGGCGGGGGCACTCAAATCCATGCCCGCCCCATCCCCACGAACTTCTTTGTGGGTATTACCCGTATCCGCCCCATACCCGGTCAATGCGGGAATTTCCCTCGTTAACCGGGTTGGGTAGGGTCGGATACCCGCGGTTACGACTATAATTGTCATCCCTAATGATGTTTTGTGTGGAATGTGATTTGATTTGTTGCAAACTTGGATTTATAGACTTTTAGTAGCAAATTTTGAATTTTTTTAGTTGGTGACAAATAATAGTCGTGTCGGCGGCAAATAGCCGTCCACTAATATTTTTGCTAGAGTAAGTTATTTACGTAATCCCCAAAATTTATCACTTTGCCATATGGTGCAATGTGATTATTATTCAAATTAATTGAAATCAAAATCAAAGTGACGTACTTAAGCAGTAAATGAGATCCCTATTATGGCGATGGTTATCTTACATTTCATCCTGAACCTGAAGTGGCATGAACTCCCAAGTTTCTTACACAACATCAAAGTTGTACAAATATAAGAAATGCAGTTCTGGTTTTCTTCACACTATCGGACAAGTTGAAAGGAAGAATAGGAAAGCTATAGAGTAAACTCAAATGTGTTCTTAACATTCAAAGCATAGCATTATAGCATACCCTGGATAGACCCGGGAGCAACATAAATTCAGTTTCACAATCCAAAGCCACAAACAAATTACATAACCAGGAAAGTTTTCAGAAACAAACCACACCGATTCAGAGCATTACAAGCCAATTACAAATTAAAGTTCAGAACCAAACCGAATGTCACGTTCCTTATTCGATCGATAGAAAGACACACCGAGTTACATTGGTTTAGCTTCTTTTCATTTTCATGAACTAAAACCAAACCATAATATATTACAGTGCACCAGTGGCCTCCAAAACAGTCTTGATCATCTCATGAACAGTTCATAAGAGTAAAACTGGTAATGATAAGCCACTTTGATGCACGTGAGCCAAGAATGATTTGCCTAGCAACCAAAATATCCAAAGCTATATGAAGCTTCTCCGTATTAAGGCTGCAGGAAGGGGTGGGGACTTGGAAAGCAGGAACTTGAGCACTGCAAAAACCAAATCCCCTTGAGGCGAACCCCTCACTTTGTTGTCAGACTTTAAGGTTGCTGCTGCAGTTGTCAACTACAGCAGCAACCCATTTGCTGGGCATCACGAAGCCATGCCCACCAGTGTTCATCATGCCAGGGAAAGAGTGGAATGGTGGTGGTGTCTTGATCTGGAAGCAACCCACCATATCTTCTCTAGAGAACATGCTGGTTACTTCAGATGATGACCGCCCTGAAAGATTCAGTCCACCTCCAGCACCATTTCTTTCCTTTGAGGAGTTTGCTGACCCACTGTCAGACTGCAGGCCTCCTGAACTCTGGGAACCAGCCGGCTTAGACAGCTGGAAGTTGTTTCCTTGATCTTTTGCCATTTTGTCGATCTCCTGTTTGGTCAAGAAACGCCCACCGCTTCCCCTTGGTCGACGCATTGCATGGAGATGGCGTGAGTGGTGCATGTATTGCTGCACCCATATAGACGAGAAATTTTTAAATGACGCAGCACTAAAATAAAGTACAAGAACTTTTAACTGAAATCATAATGCAGTTAAGAGCTTGAGCATAGTTAGTCTATTAGGAAGCTTAAGCAATGTTCGCCAGATGGCATACCAAATCTGACACAGACAGTCGTATGAATACAAGTATCATGCTTTAGAAATAGATGCAGTTGCTGAAAAGGACTACCCTACCTTGCGAGCTCTGCTTGCTTTATTCTCCAGTTCAGCTTTTGCACGAGATTTGCGACGCCTGAGGATTCCATGATACTGCTTAGCATTAACATAAATTGGTCCTTCATCTGTGCTCATGTCCATTGGCAGCATAATCCGTCCCTATAAAATGAACATCAGAAGTTCAGGAGACAGTGTTTACCCAGATTCCTACCCGCATCAAAATTCCTCACTATAGATGACAAAAGTTGGCATTTGGCACTAAGTAAATGACAAAAAGTAAGACCATGGCAGGCCATATGTTTTGATGCAGGCTGTTGATATTCAGTACATTGCCAACTGTTGGGACATTCACTGAATGGCAACTAGGAAACAAGTGGTTGTTAGTGAACATAAAGATTCAAAGCGCTCCAAGTTTTTGGGGAGGAAAAAGAGAAGAAGAAACTGTCGCCACCAACCAGATACCACATCGTACCAATCATATGGCAATAAGTCTAATGAAAAAAAAAATTCTTATTTGCCAATACTTAGTGATCATGAATATGATGGAAGATTACAAACCGGAACTTGTGGTCCATATGCTGAGAAGATGCCATAATATTGATCCACAGGAGGATGCTTTGCACAGATCTGAAGTTACATTTAAAAAAACAAGGCAAGTAAATAGCCGTCAGCATATGTAGGAAACGTTATGACTAAGAGCGAATTGTGAAATCTTACCATTGGCTGACCATATCCAATGTCAAACTGAGCAGCCAGGGTTGCTTGAACAGAGAAGAATGACTGAGCAGGCAGAGACTTCTGCTCCTCATTGATGGATTTTCCATCGCCTGGAGAACCTGGTATTAAGAAGAAAAAAAGTGCTTATAGATTTAAATATCTATGGTTCGAAGCCATTATGAAACAGGGATGCAGCTCATTTATGACCATGTTATCACGGTTTTAAAAGCACAAGGGAGAAAAAAACATGAACCCTGGGAATAGGATTTGACAAGTTCTCAACTGAAAGTATAGGTGTCAAGAATTTTACTAAGTCATTGAATATCCGTTTTAACCAAGCTCAAAAGGGTTATAGGCATGGATCTCTCCTTGAAAGCTTTCCAACTCAGTCTCATATTTCTTAGATGAGGTTTCTTCATTATCTGACTCACTTCTTAGTTGAGTTACTTGATGAGCCTACTCAAAGCCAACCTCTGTCCAATCTCTCAATCTACCGATCTATCAACTAACTCTTAAGGATACCATTCCCTTAAAGGTCGGTGAACTTTCCATACAGTAACATGCAGGACGGTATATCTAGCTCGCAAATGCATAAAGAACTTTCACTTACATATCGAAATCTTGCCAATTTCAAGAGCCTTGATTCAACCCTGACTTACTCCTATTTATGGAATCACCAGAATCAACAAGTAAATATTTCCTTTCCAGGCATGAACTCAAATCATGAGCTTGTTTTTCCTAAAAAAGCCACCATAAGGTTTGTTGCAGAAGCACCAAATACTACCACCTATAATGAATAATAAGTCTACTTGTCTGCCCCAGCTGAAACTCACTATTGAGCAACCCTCAATTATCTGATCTTCCCACGAAACTTGCACAATTTTAGTTTACCATTATCAGGAATCAAAGCTGTCCTTCATACTTCAATAACATCCAGCTGCTATGCGAATTTGAAACATTTCTTTTATGTTCAGAGACAGAACGGATGGAAATGGTAGCCAAGAATATAGAGGCACAGTTGCTGGGATTGGGATTGGGATTACCTGGGAAGATATTGAACTCCGTAGGAATCTCCTTATCCAGCAAACCACCTTGACCTTGGTCAGTGGCAGTGACCACCTGGTCTCCAGCCGTAGGTTGTTGGTCCACAGACATAGTCTTCAATTGGGAATCCACGTAAGCAGTATGAGATCCCAATACATTCCACCAGGAGGGCATCGATGGCGCAGCAGCCGAGAGGTGCCCAACTGGGTTTTGAGCTATCCCTTCATGTTCCTTGAAATACAGTGTCTTCATACCCATAAGAATTCCTCCCTTCCAATCTCGGTCTCTGACAGAACCCAAAAGAAACCAGAAACAGAAGAAAAGGAAGCTGGGTAAGAAAATTACCGACTTCCCCCCAAAAATTACATACCCGAACTCCAAATGTCTCCCTATCATATGGCTCCAACAACCACAGGAAACGGGGAAACCGAAGGTAAAAAAAAAATAAAAAAAATAAAGCGAAAGGAACAAAAGGAGATGTGCTACCACACTTTGAAACAATCGGAGACTAGATAAAGCCGGCCAAATGAAATTAAATACAGATGGACATGAATTGTCTTCCAACTATACCCCAACCACCATCTGCTGAACAAGAAGCAGAAACCAAGAAGGAAATTGAAAGCGATGGAATTGAAAAAGAGAGAAGTAAAGAAGAAAGAAGAAGGGAAGAGGGATCGTCATGAAATCATACTTGAAAAATCACCCAATTGACGAATAAGCAACAACCCATGTCAGAAACAGGCAATTAACATAAGGGTGGCCGAAGGAACCACGAAGAAAGAAAACAAGTGAGCTACTTGCTACTCGAAGTTGAAGTATGCAGAGAATCACAAAAAGGAAGAGTTAAGCTTAAAAAGCAGTCAAGGGTTTACTCACAAAAGAAATATTGGAGCAGCAGCCAAGCTGGGTGAGAATCCTAGCAACAGAGGAACCCCATCAGTTAGGAGCCATGTCGGCACAAATTCGTGCAAGATAACAGAAACCGGTAGGCGTTGGATTGAGAGAGAGAGAGAAGAAGAAGAAGAAGGAGAAGAAGAAGAAGAAGAGAGGGGGGAAGAAAAGGAAGGGAAGAGCAATAAATGCTTACAAAGGTGTGTGATGAAACAATCAGCAGCCCAGTGGTGGCCAATTAGCTTGAGCTTTCATGGGAGATACAGATACTTCTGGTTTTGGGTTTCTTTTGTAGGATCAATTCCTGTACTGTTGTGTGTGCTCAATTAAAATGAAAACGAAAAGCAGATTTTCTTTTCTTTTCCCCCTCCCCTGTTGCTTTCCTTTTTCTCCCTTTCTTTGGAGCAATTATTTGAGCGGTTTTATAATTTTATACCAGCAAAGTTGGTGAGTGGCCACGCCCCAATTCCACTGTTTTGTTGTTTGCCTGCCTTGTTTCGTGGTGGTCAGCAACAACTATTATTTTCACTCCTATGGATTCCATTATAACAAAAAGTATTTTAGGTTTCACTCAAATAATTTGCTTTGATGAGCAATATAGTTTTATATGACCGAGATGATGGAAATGCGATGCTCAGTTATCTATATCATAGGATAATTTTATGAATAATGACACCCGTCTTCAATCCAGTAATTAAGACCGTCTTCTTTGTGATTGAACGACAATATCAAGATACGTCGACTGTGTCTTACATGGCAACGAGACTCGCTCGTGTCGATCTATAATAGTTATGTTATTAATTTTTGGGAGGTGATTTTTTTACCGTCCTTTAACTAGCAATCGGAGAGGGATGGCACGTAGGAAGGCCATCATGATTTTTTTTTTTTTCAATGAAAAGGATAGTGCATTTATTTATTATGTGAAATAACTAGAGGAGCAAAGAGCACTAAAAAGTGGCTTGTACTTAGTTAAATAGAACAATAGTGGTTTGTAAAAGGATGGACTTGGAAGTGGATGGAATTGAAATGAGAAAGACTGCATAGAACTGAGGGAAGGGAAGAACATTTTTTGGTTGAATTGCAATATGAAGTCTCATATTTTCAAATTCGCCATTATTTTGGGACTAAACAAAAGTGATATTTGTAAAAATTTATTGATCGTGCTTGGTATTTTAAAGTTCGCAAAACTTAATTGAGCAGTTAATACTCAATATTGCAATGAATGTTTGGAATTGGGAAATTTTATTTTTCTCCATAAGTCATGTATTGGATTCAAATTCTCCATCATAGTGTTACGTATTTCCAATGTTGGTCTCTTGCATTTGAATTAGTTGATGAATCAATGTAATGAAATCGTGTTAGATTCATAATTGAGTCTATTATAATAGCTCGAGTTTTTGCGACAAACTAATTTTCGACATCTCATAGAGCCTTTGATAAAAAAGATCTCGTCTTTCAATGCTAGACAGTAGTAATAGGCTTTGTAATTAAAATTTTCTCAACAACTCGAGTTGTTCGGAGATGCCACGTGTATGGATTTTAACCACTTCCTTACACTAAAAGGAATGAAATCTGCACATATTTATCATACTCTGTTTTTAAATCAACGATTACTATTTGGGGTCGTGGAAATTCAAACACACTACAACATGGCCAATTAGGTTTTTGATAATAGTCATAAATCATTTGGTCTCAATAACTCGACTTGTTGGTAAAGTCTCATATATGGATGTTCACCCATAAAAAAATTAGTTTGTATCACATCGATTAACTACAAGAAATTCAATGAATTTATAAGGCCAACTCAACATTAATAATTAAAAGAGCTAGCTGGACCTTGTTGGGTTGGGTTGGGTTTTTGGGCCTAAGTGGCCAAACCCCTTCAACCCCTTCTTCCTTATACGATGGCTGACCCGTCTCCTTGGCCCCCATAGCCGGACGATGCCTCCAGTCCTTGGTATGAAATTTGACTCCCAAAAACTAAGTATGGAACAAGGCGGCACAACGGGGTGCCAAGCGACTGGGTACCAAGCCGGGTACCAAATAGGGGGGCCATCCAAAAACTAAGTCTGGAAACAATGCGGCACAACGGTGTGCCAAACGACTGGGTAACAAATAGAGGGTCATCCAAAAACTAAGTTAGGAAACAAGGCGATACAACAGGGTGCCAAACAACCGGGTACCAAATAGGGGGTCATCCAAAAACTAAGTCTGAAAACAAGGCGGCAAAAGACATGAAAATTGGCTAAGTATGGAGCCAACAGAGTACCAAGTCGGCGAGATAGGCTTGGTAGCTAGGCAACAGGGTACAAAGACTCCAAACGGGTAAATTTGGCTAAGTATGGAATCTCATGGCCAGGGGGCCATACGACACGATGTCATACCACCCATAGCAAGAGGGCAAACGACAGGGTATTAAGACGAAAGAGGCTTGGTAGCAAGGGTATCAAGCCGACAAGATTGGCTTGATACTAAGATGACAAGTTGGTGCCATGACAGTCTCTCTAAGACTAAGTGTGGAGACTTGGGGGGTAAAGGGGTCAAGTTCTCATCCTGTCTAGGTGGGTAATATGGCCTAGCTATCAAGACATTTCATCGAAGTGGCTAGCAAGATGAGGAGCGTGGAGTCGTCAGGGCTGTTGATGATGTGATTAATACTTCATCATGAAGGCTAAGGCAAAGAGGCTCAACCCTATCCAGTCATGACAGGGCGACAAGGCTCAACACCAAACCGATCCGACATCGAGACTATCAAATACCCACCAACCCCAAGATGGGATAAGGGCCACCAAGGTGACGGTTACCAACTAGTCACAAGGCGGCGACAAGACGCCTCGAGGCGGTTTGGAACAAGAGGCCAACTAGCAGTTACCAAGACAGTTACACCTAGTGGCTATAAATAGGAGAAACTAAGATTGTAAACGGGTTGCACAACCAACCATTTGACCCACTATCTCAAACTTTATCTTTTTCTCTGCAAATTAGCCATAACTTTTAGTTTCTGGAGCTCTCACCGAACCTCCATAGGAGTAGGAGTAATTTAACATAGTTTATTCCCAAAAAATCATAAAAAACATCAAACACCGTCGTTCGAACATTGTTCGGAGAGGTGTGAACTGTGTTTAGAATTGTTGTTCAAGAAGTCAAATGTGCATTTATTGTAATCAAACACCAGATCTTTAACCTCTTTCTTACAATGGTAAGATGAGCATATTTAAATTTCAAACTCATAAGTTGACTCTCATGTAAAATTGCATAAAAAAATTCTCCTAAGAAACCGAAGTTATTGAGACCAAACTGATTTCATAAAACACATCTATTATACCATGAAAAGAATGGACCCATATATATTTTTTGGGGGTAGGAAATGTACCCATATCTTTGTTAATGAAAGGGCACAATGATTCTTTTTTTAAAGCTCATTATGCACCATTATTATTTGTTATCATCTAATTATGCGTTTCCTCCTAGAATACCATTCTGCCGGCTATATTCCAGCAGAAGTAAGACTTGTTTTAGTTGTGTCCAGTTTCTATGAAATTTCTTCCTTTCGATGATAAACATGACTGTTGCTGCCTGTTTTATATAAACTTATTCGTTTTTTTTTAACGAGCAGTGTATTCTTTTGGCAGCTGCCAAAGAAATTGTTTTTTTCCGCAATTTTTTCTTCATTTAATTATGTTCTGGATTACTTTTACATAGTAACTTACACATGCATGCCTAGCATTTAACCATCAAAGCACGAGGCGATGAGTGACCAAGCGAAGGTTACAAAAAATTGGGCATATACCAGTTGGACCAATGATTTCCCCAATTTTGATTGATTTGATACGTTTTAACTACCACTTCATACCCGAGGTTTTTCAACCAATTTTATGTAAATATCGGTTGAACCCGATTGTACAACCGACATACAAGTGGTTTGACAGCTATGCACAAAACTCATGTTCAAACAGTTTACATAACTGTTAGTTGTTAAATGAGAGATTAATTATGATATAGGTTCTTATACAAAACCTCCATATTTGTAGAACTACAAAACTAGATATGGACAGAGACAAGAAACCAGAGGTGTGTTGGTGGAAAGTTTCATGGGGCAAGTTCATCCTAAATACAAGTTTCTTGCCTCGTAAATATCCTCAACCGCATCAAAACTAGAGACAAGCTTAAGCAATGGAAGAATGAAGGCCTGATTTTCAGCTCTTTGTGGTGTTGGAGGATTGGGCTGCTTTGGAAGGAGCGCTGTAGAAGAGTTTTTGGCGAAGCAGTAAAAAGTGCGAACACATTAGCCTCTCTGTTCAGGGAAGAAGTTCTCGATTATACATGTTAGGGAACCCAAATTTCTATGCACAAATTTAGTCAATGGAGTGGGTTAGAGTTGTAGTAAACTGATTACATTTTGTATGGCTTAGGCCAATGTACTTTTTTTTTAAATTCTTGTGTTGATTTGGCCAAGAATGTGCTTAGTAGATTATGCTAATTCCCGGAAAAAGACTTGATATGAACGGCTGTTGTCGGAGGAGGCAAAATTTGATGGTGAGGTTTGAAGAGGGATACGGAGGACAACCTAGTTATTCTGCTAACTTGAAGATTCGTTAGTATATACTAATTAATATCTAAAATGTATGAATTAATATCCAAGTCTGCTAAGTATCTAGATAACACAAACTAGTATTCAAAACATCACAAACTAGTATCCAGATAGCAGATACCAACTAATATCCACAATC